GAACAAATTGGGAACCATGAATATGGAGCAAGAAAAGCATCTGAAGGTGAAAACTTTCGAAAATAATGTTGGCAGCGAATTTTTTGGATTAGAGCCACCTACAAATCCGTGGCTGATGGACTGCAATGCAACATCATCTGCAGCTATGATAGGAAATGTAATTCAGTCTTCCGAGGAGGGAGGAGATCAAGGCTATCTTGCAAGTGATGAGGAAAGCGACGACCCTCGATTAGATGCAAAAGTAAAACTGGAAAGGATTCATAATTTAATTAGGATTCAATGATTTAATTAGATTATGGCATAAAAAAGATGATACGATAATACAAAGGGATTCTAAATAGGGGGAAAAAAACCTACTGCATATTTTTTTATTTTTTTTTTTTGATTTTATTTGACCTGATCACCTCTACCATCAAGCTGTTTGGGTAGGCTGTGCTATAGATAAGAAAACAAGTAAGAACATTATAGTCGGGCAAAGTCGACGATTAAATAGCCTACACCACACTATCTAACACAATTCTTATTTTTGTATGAAGCACGCGTAGAGGTTAGTCGGGACCATCGTTTACTGTCCTGTTCCCTGATTCGGGGTAATATTCATGGCAACTTTCAAGTCAATAGTTGCTGTTATAGTTATGCACGAATCAGTTCTGTGTTCAAACCGTATTTCTGAAAGTATATACAAGGGCTTCTATCGTAATTTTTGCAACAGCGTGCGAGAAATAGACGGAATTGAGAATTTTACGTTGATCAATGCATATATAAGCATATATATATATATATATATACATATAGTTTTGTATATACAAGCATATTATATAATGTATATATTTCATCAAGTTTTCAACATGTGGAGGATAAATGTACTATAACATAATTCTTCGACAGCTTGGTGTGGAAATAAAGAGTTAACAACGTATTGTTAAGCATCCAGGAGGTACGCTCGGTTATATCCGTTGAAAATGGGAACGCTACAGCTTATCGTGTGTCAATTTCGAAATTTATCATATTAGAAGAAATGAAGACAACAGGTTTCGCTTGAGGCAATGAAAGCCTCTATAAAGTGCTGTCATTTCATAGAGATGTGATCCCTACTTGGGAATACACTATCACTTGGTATAAACGATAACACATATTATGTAAGCATCTTTTAAGTTTTCAATGCAAGTTAATGTCAGTTAGTAAGAAAATTATATTCGCCTGCGGCCGAATCTTTTATCCACACTTCCTTTATATTAAAATACAAGGTATATACGTTAATTGCAATCGAATATGAATAATGGGGAAAATGTTCATTTTCTTGCTTTTGTAAACAAAAGTGTTTGCACTTTGTGTCATACTATGGGCTTGCCCTCTGGGACATTTGATTGAACTTCCAAGCTTGGATTTTTTTTTTTTTTTTTGAGACCAGGAGGATGTTTTCTACGGGCCAAGGAATAGAAGGACAGAAAGACGGACGGACGGACAGACGAGCAGACAAATTTACCTAAAAGGATTCAGTATTTGTTACTGATATATACGATAATGTATATATCTGATGGCATCCTTAAATTTCGTTCAGGATTCTGCAAATGTTGTGATAAGATAAATATAACGCTATCCCTCAGTGGTGAGTAGAAAAATATAATTTCTTTTTCCTGTTCACTTGTAACTCCTAAAAGTGTTGTGAAATATTTGTTCGAGAAAAATTAAACTTTGATTAAAATTTTGTCTTTTCGCTAAATCGGGCCATAAGCCCTTCCATACTTAGGTAACAAGACCTCAGTCACAATTTTAAAAATTTATTTAAAGTGCATAAAACAACAACATTATGTTCGTTGTTTATTAAAATTTTCTTATTTCCTTACACCCATGACAAAATTGTGTAAAACTTTAAAGAATCGTATAAGGCGGAGAAATGAAATCCATATTACATTATTGCATATACATTTATAAAACAAAAATCATTCATTTTTATAACAAGAAACAAATTAAAACTAGTGTACAGTGAAAATTCAATCCATACAACATATAAAAATTAAAAAAAAAAATTAATGCAGGGACATGTAAGTAGGTTTCATCCGTTCGGCTATTCATATAATGGTAAAGACCGTGCATTTCGTTTAAGTGTAATCGTGTGTGGAAGGTCCGTGAGACACAATATTTAAACTCCCTCACATCTCCCGGGGCTTGAGATTAGCTAGTTCAGAAATGTCACCTACAACCTAGGACCCTCTTTAAGTAGCACTTTAAAGTAGCCCTAAAAATACTCAAGTTTGTAGTTCCATAGTTAGACAGACTGTGAGGATTTACAGATAAAATGTGGATTTGTGAAAACACTTCGAGTAAGGGAAGAGAGAGAACGATAAGAAATTCATTCCAAACTAAGATTCAGAGAGAGTAACATAGAAATGTAACAAAGTCATATTTACCGCACGCGAATGGGATCTCAGCAAACAGCAACTAGTAAAAACGCGGCAAAGGCGATGTTTGGCAGAAAACGGATTAAACCAAAACGCAATACTTCCAAGCAGCAAATGGCAACCAAACATTCATCGAATCGAGATTTTCGAATAAAACTTTTGAGTCTAATATTCTTTACTCGGAAACATTTCCTTTTGTCCTATGTGCTTAATGCTTCAATATTGCTCCTAAGTTCTTCACTCTCGCCACTTACTCAAAGCCAAACCAAAGGAAAAACAAGAACTAGAACCATCCCCCCTTATATTTGAACAAAATAGTTTTTTTACGAAAAGTCGAAACAAAACAAAGAAAGAAATAAAATGTAAATATAATCAATCAAAGCATAAATTGACGCACCTTTGTATATATTAAGACATTTTTTTTCCACTCTTGGACTAATTCTGACGCAGATAATTTTATTAAGATTTCATCAGTTGTTCCTTCAACATAATTTCCTTTATTTTCGTTCGTTAACATTGTAAATATTTTCGCTGCTAGAAGTAATTTTAAAATAATAATTTTAAATAGTTTAAAATAGTTATTTTAAAATAAGTAATTTTCAAATCAAATTGAAAATTTATTTTTATCTATGCTATTGGTGTTGACAACAGTAACGGAAGCTCAAGACGATGGTCGTTATAGACCACCATCACCAAAACCGGCGTCAAGGATCGAGCGATAATGACGTTACCGTCCTGGCGGTGAGACGTACTTTCGATGGTGTCATTTACTTTCCTAGTGGTGCCGGTAGATACGTCGGGTATGATTAGCGAGTGTAACGGATCGTCCGGTTTAATTGAAATGAAAAATTTCGTTCGTTATCAACGGCCAAGTAGCAATAGAGGAAGTCACCAACACATGTGTGAGCCTACACCGACTAACTTCTGATTATAGTATTCGCTCAATAGTAATTTGCTGCTGTATATATCCTAAGAGGAATTAAAAAATATATATTTTTTTGGGTTTGTGCCAGAAATTCATGTAAAAAAAGTGTCTGCTTTCATTGGTCAACCGTGTTATTTTAAAATTGTTTAAAAGAGAGTTGAGTATGTATACATTTACATAGTATATATAGCGGGTTTTCAAAAAAAGTTTTATGTGTATTATTATGAGCGGGTACCATAGCATGCGGTTAACTTCTCCTTGTAATTTTTTCAACTTATTAATCCCTTTTTTTAATTTTTTTTTTTTTGTTCTGAATTATTCACTTTGTACAACTTCTTTGGGCACTTGTAAAATTTGCTTTGATTTTGAAATTCGTTTGGTCAACTGAAACACATAATAACTATTCCGCTTTTATACCTTTAATTTTATATTGTTCAGAAATCGAACAATTAAATATATTGTTCATATCAAAATCTGCTGTGTTGTTTATGAAATTAATACATTTATTTACTTCGCCAAGCAATCGAAAATTGTATACGAGACACAATTTTTTTTGCATATTTTGATGCTCAAGAACCCAATTGGCCAGTGCAAATAATCACTGCAAGAACTAGTAGTTTTTCAATGAATCCAAACAGCTATGAAAAAAACAGTTGCTATCGAAATGTACAGAAAGCAAATTACGCTGTTTTTTATGATATGATATCGGTACTTAAGGAATGAAGTGAGGTAGTTATACCACTTTAGGTGGATAAGTAACCTAAAGAAAAGTTTGTATAACAATTAAAGCGTGTTTTTGTTCTTCATAGTTTTTTGATTAGCCTATATATATGCTTAGCTTTTTTGTTTGTTTTGTTATAAAGCATAACTTTAATGGTAGTTGCCTCCGCTAGATACTATGACGGTGTCTATGCTAGTGAAAACTTTGAGTAGAAGGACAGTATTGACCAGAAGAAAAATCACAGACACAAATAACAAAATTAAACCAAACAGACATTAGCTTACTAAGTAAGGAATTTTGTGCGTTGGATATTTTTTTTTTTTTTGCAAAAAACGCAATCTAATTATTACATTTTCTATAATTTGTTTCTTGCTTGCGCTAACCTTTCATTGCAAATAATCATCATTTCAAGTAAATTCAGTTTTGATTTTTTAACAAAATTTTTATTTCGATAAGAATTTCTAAATAAAAAGAAAAATATTACACAATTGCTTAAAATGTAAGTAAATTTGGTTACGTGCTCTATCAAAAATTTTTACTTTAAGTGAAATAGAAAAAAAAAAAAAAAAACATTGTTTTGTGCAACTTCTCGATGTTTTCATTAATTATTCATAAATTCGAATTAAAGATGCTTACAAAGTATAAATCAATCAATGCAATATATATATGTGGTTAAAGTTCATTTTTGAATTTAAATTAAATTAAATATTCTTTGCAATCTTTGGATAAAAGCTGACTGATGATAGTTAAAATATTTATTGCAACATTTATTTCTTTTCTTTTTTTTTTAATTTTTTTTTTTTTTTTTGGATTTACTGTTTTGGCGAAAGAGGAAGAAACTAAACGAAAAGCTTTAGAGAAGATAGATTTATTGCATTTAGGGAAAGACAGTAACTCTCACAGTGTATCTAGGGTCAGTCTTAGTAATTGGAATTTTTTTTGTTTTTTTTTGTTTTTTTCATTAATGCAAATGCAAATCTGTACAAATTTCCTTCCTTATATGGTTTAAAGACAATACTTGATGGGACTCAATCTTAATTGAAGAAAATGAGAAAAAGATATGCTTTGATGAACTAAATGAATGAATGAGACTGAGGCATAATGAGCAATGAATTAAAGCTTTAAAGAGATAGACAAAGAAATGCTGTGAGATTGCTTGGAGGAGAGTTATGTATAACGTGTTTGCATGAGTGGACGTTTCGATAATGTAGTGAAATGTGCGTGAAAACGTGTTAATCGTCTTAAAAGTAATCGTTTAAGTTTACTTTCGAATATAATTATAAATCATTTATGTTTTATATAAATCGCAATAATGAATCCTTTAATATCGTCATCTATTATTATTATTATTATTATTATCATTATTATTACTATTATTATTTTTTTATAAATAATTTCGTTATTTTGGACTTTGATAAAAGTGTGAGTAAAAGTGAAATTTTATAATGCTATCTTTAAGTGTCCTCGTGATTCTTGTGTGTGACTGCATATGTGTGGGAGTGCTAAAGAGTAAGAGACTTTATCATCTAGTAGACTAAAGAAGACATTTTAGTTTATGCAAAAGATGGCGTATTTCTCCTTCCCCTTCCTGAGCATAATCGGCAGCCATCCTTCGTTCTTGGTAAAAGTCTCAACTTCAATGCATGCTCCGCAACATTCTTCTGGTGCGATAATTAAATACAATCGCCTTCAACTTCTTCTTGATGCACTTCGGGATCAAATTCATCATCAGCTGTAGCTTCTTGATATTGCTGATATTCCGAAACCAAATCGTTCATATTGCTTTCGGCCTCAGTGAATTCCATTTCGTCCATACCTTCGCCCGTGTACCAATGCAAGAAAGCTTTGCGTCTAAACATAGCCGAGAATTGTTCCGAAATGCGTTTAAACAGTTCCTGTATGGCTGTGGTGTTGCCAATAAAAGTGGATGACATTTTCAAACCCTTGGGCGGTATATCACACACGGCAGTCTTAACATTATTCGGTATCCATTCAACGAAATATGAGCTATTCTTGTTTTGTACGGCCAACATTTGTTCGTCTACCTCCTTCATAGACATGCGACCACGAAATACGGCCGCTACCGTAAGATAACGGCCATGACGCGGATCACAGGCGGCCATCATATTCTTGGCGTCAAACATTTGTTGAGTTAATTCTGGTACGGTTAAAGCTCGATATTGTTGAGAGCCTCGAGAAGTGAGCGGAGCAAAACCGGGCATGAAAAAGTGTAAACGTGGAAACGGTACCATGTTAACGGCCAATTTACGTAAATCGGCATTTAACTGACCAGGGAAACGCAAACATGTAGTTACTCCGGACATGGTTAGAGAAACCAAATGATTTAAGTCTCCATAGCTGGGATTAGAAACCTTAAGTGTACGGAAACAAATATCATATAAAGCCTCATTATCAATACAATAGGTTTCATCCGTATTCTCCACCAATTGATGAATTGACAAAGTGGCATTATACGGTTCAACCACCGTATCTGAGACTTTAGGCGAAGGCACTACCGAATAGGTGTTCATTATACGATCAGGATATTCTTCACGTATTTTCGAAATTAACAGGGTACCCATACCGGAACCAGTGCCACCACCTAAAGAATGCGTCAATTGGAAACCCTGAAAGAAAATATAATTAATGCACAAAGCTTATGCAAGAGAAGAAAAGAATTCTCGCCAAAACGTACTTGCAGGCAGTCACAATTTTCGCATTCCTTGCGCACTACGTCCAATACATTATCTACCAGTTCAGCACCTTCGGTATAATGGCCCTTGGCCCAATTATTGCCGGCTCCTGATTGGCCGAAAACAAAATTATCTGGCCGAAACAATTGACCATAGGGACCAGAGCGTACCGCTTCCATAGTGCCCGGCTCTAAGTCCAAAAGAATGGCACGTGGCACATATTTACCACCAGAGGAACGTGTAACAGCTGAAAGGAAAAGAAAAACAAAAGTTTCTGTTGTGCTGAGAATATTTGCTTAGAAGTTATAAAAATTCAAGAAAGGCAAATATGGAACTGTTGAAGTCATTTTGGTAACTAAGCTAACCTAGCTTTCCTTAATTAAAAAGAAGACAAGCAATTGTTAATGTAGTGAGGTAGATTAACTTAAGAGAGTTTTCTAAGTTCTTGCTGTGATAATTCCGTTCCCATCCCTTTGCTTTCTTGAAAGTAAGCTATCTGCAGTTATGACTTCTTAAAGAAGTTGAAAGATGATAAGGAAGACAACTCATAAGTCACTTAATAACTGAAACGGCGTTGAAGGTGCGAATCGGTAGAAGATGTGTTTTATAAAGCAGGGACGTTGCTGGGTTGATACTAAGCGATTCTGTTCTTGTTGCTCTGTAAAAAGAGAAACCAGCAGAAGAGGTACTGAATATAATCAAACCCCAATCCCCTTTTAACCAACGAACCTGACAAGTGGGCTTATGATGCCTGCGAGGATGCTCGCTCTGTCTGTCTGAATATCGATCTACTGACTTTATTATTTATAGGGTTACTCTTACGAGCCACTTGAATAGGATCGGAAGTTGCTGCTGAGCTGATATGAGAGGCTTTTAAGTTCTACCGCCACAGACGGTTACACCTAAAAAAATAACACTTGCTTTACCCTAATAGGAATAAACGGACGGAAAAAATCTACTTACCGAACGGACACCGAGACATTCTATATTCTACCCTACCTAATGTCCCCTGCGACCCATAATTAGCAATGAGGGACAACTAAATTCTCCCATACACTGGAAGTAATACGCATCCCCCGAGAACGTTCTTAATGAAAGATAGGGAGCATCGAAAAGAGCCGACTTATTGGAGAAGATTATGAAATGCTTTGCCCGATCCCCTTTTTTAAGCAACGAATCTGACAATTATTGCTATCAGTAACGTTTTCCCGTAATTAAGCATTACAAACTTAACACACCCTTTTTGAAGAATATTTCGAAGAAATGATTAGTTTATGTTTTATTAGTCAATCGCCGAAATTCGCTTTGCTAATAAGCGGCAGATAAAAATAAGCAATAAATTATACTTAATAAATCATAAAACAATCAACACTTGTTGCTTGCCGAGGGCAGAGTAAATTTGTATTTGTATGCTTGGCACGTGCTCGCATGCGCACCAATATAACAAGCGATGTGCTTGAACAGAAATGGAAGGAAGTCATTCAATGGAAACTTAACTTAAACACTCATCACATCACAAAAACCGCACAATTGAGAAATAAAGGCAAAGCCAGTTATTGATACAATGCAAAGAACAAAAGAAAGCAACAAAGTGAGGGAATACATGCAGAGATGATCAACTAGCGCACAAGAACGAAAATGGATATTTTCTTCTATCGGTTACTGTAGGTGCGCTACCGCATGTTGAAAATAATTTCAAGAGGCACCTGCAACTTTGCTACTAAATGTTCTAATAATAATGAGTTGTACGGTTAGTTCTTCTAATTTCACCAGACACGAATGCAATAAGAAAAGCAAAAAAAAAAATATTCTAACCTCGACGGTCTTTGCAACAAATTAAAAAATTGTTTTTTTTTTTTTTTTTGCTTGAGTATGTTAGCCAAGTCAAACCGTTGAATATAAAGTATTTCTAAAAGCAACAACAATGGCGACGACCAGCATGAAAGCTATATTTGGGTTGGAACGATTCTTAAGCACCCGCTGCGTTTAACAAATGTACGAAAACTTGATAGTTTTTTTTTTTTTTTTGTGTCGATTTATTCAAAGAATTTTTACACAACTCTTTGTAAACAGTGGGACTAACAGCGATTTTAAATAGGAATAATTTGTTAATAATTGATGGATTGCATTGGATAGTTTTATTAGGATTCGATGAAACTATCGAAGAAGAAGAAAAAGAATAAGAATAAGAGAGAAAATATTTATGATCAGAAAACCGAGACTTGAAAGGCGATAGTTACGAGTGGTCATTGAAAAACATCATCTCGCTCTTCTGAAAGCAGTGAAACTTGAGTATAAAATGTAGCTATCCTATGAAAACAATATACAAAAAAAAAGAAAATGAAAAACGAAGAAAAATGTGGAAAAGAGATTAGATTGTACGGACATAAGGACAAGGTTTCTGTTTGCATAGACAGGCCAAAGGAAGCGGTCAAAATTTGTTAACAAACGGGAATACGAGCAGGGAGTCTTATCGCATTGGCTTTTAACGATTCCCCAGCTACTGAAAAAAACTTGGCTAAGAAGCTTTAAAACAATCCTTCACTTTGCGCTCATTGACCATCTTTTATTTCTGTTCCCCGTCCGGAATGTTAAGCTGATTTAAGAAGAATCACATTTTTTTCACTAGAAAACCCGTAAGTTGTATGGCAATAGGGTGAGGACTTTACTAGAAAAATTATCAAACCTCAAGGCAGTCGCTTTGCGTTTGTTTGTATTAAGGTATTCTTGACTAACTTCCAAAGGCCCATAAACTAACCGCGGTGTCTAAGACACGATAAGCCAATGAATTTATTGTTATCATTATTGCTATAAACGCTTATAAATCAAATGGATTTCATTACATGCCATCATCTAAAGATCGCACACAATGCGCTCAGCGTAAATAAACCACAAAACACTAATGTGTACTGAGTTGAATTTTGACGTTTAACAAACCATAAGATAAAATTAATACACCAATTATTCGTTGGTGGTGCATTTAATGAGCGAAATGTTCAATGAGTGGCATACAGTATTACCACTTTATAGGCCAAGAGTCATAATTATTGCAATAATAATACAATCGCTGCATAATGAGCAAACGTACGAAATGATTCGTCAGAATGTTTGTTGTCTCTATAAATGAAAGCGTGCTGGAATTTTTACTATACAATGGCATTGATAAGTGTGCAGCACAATTTCAGAAATCTTTTTTTTTTTTTATTCTTATTTAATTATGAACGAGTGCATGCCCCATAAGAGATAATGCTATTTAAATTGGCCTGTGGGGCTTTGTTTGTTTGCCGTTCCTCAAAAAAAAAAATAAAAAAAATATGTTAACTAATCTTATGGATAATGATGATTACTCACCTGATGCTTCGTTATAGTAGACACTGACACGTTCTAATTGTAAATCACTATCACCATTATAGATACCATTGCTGTCAATACCATGCTCTTCGGAAATGATCTCCCAAAACTGTAAGAAGAAATGAAACTTAAATCAAATAATGTTAAGAATGGAGTTTTAAACTGAAAAAGTTACTACGTCAAAAACCGTCGTATATACGCCTATGCGTCACTTCGCATTAGTAGCTGCTCTAAGAGTTGACTTAAATATTCACTTAGATGAAGAAATAGAGATAAGTAGTACAAGACTATTACTGCTTGAACTTCAAAGAAGGAGAAGTTTTCGTTTCTTAAAGTGAATTTTTCCTCCAATATCTGCTATTCATGTTATATCGCTATTGGAAATTGAACTCTGTGAGGGTACCATCTGTGGTGGTAAGTTTCGATGCAAATTTATTCAATTTATTGCGAATACTCGAGAGACAAGTGTTCAAGAATGTGTGTTTATCTATCTCTATTATTGTTTTAATTTTTCATTATCAACCTTTTTGAAGTAAAAGTAACTTAATTTAACTTAGCGGAGCTACTTCACATGTAGAGATTTATCATAGGATTAAATATCAATACTACTACTATTTATATTATAATTTATTTTGCTCAAAGAAATAAATTCTTGGTCTTAACTGAGAGCACTTAAGACTAACGGCTAACAGTTGCAATATACTTGAACCACGATACGATATCGAGACGAAACATTGTAAGGAAAATGAAGAGAATAAGCAAATTCAAATTTTTTACTTCTTGCTGCTAAGAGATAGGAAGCAAAAATCATATATGTTCACATAACAAAATTCGGAGCAACTAAAATAATATATAAGCAAGAGTTGTTTATGAATACCGATTAAGAACTATATGACGCCAAACTGGTTAATTTGAAATTTTATTTATTCGCGGCTTTATGATGACTTATCTGAGAATCTTCTCGAAACCCAATGTTCCCGACAAAACATAGAGTTGCAGTGCCTAGGATTCATTGTATCCTACTATGACTGCGCTACATTAAATATGAGCGGATGTATGCAACACACAGATGGACCTGAGATAGGTTCATCTTTTTTTGTAACGATCAGAAAGACTTTCTGAATTGAAGCTTGTCTGTTCGACTTGTTTTTCTGTTTTCGACAGACATATTTTGATGAAATTTGGTAAACCGATATTTTTAGGGTGCAAGGGTGCAACAAACTTGCATCAGTTTTTCGACCACTTACCATACAAAGCCTTATGTTGAGAAGGCATTACTTGAATAATTATGTTAAGGAAAACGTCATTAATGGCGAGCCGTGTCCCACTTTCGTTTTTTTACTTATCTCAACTTTGACTAATAATAAGATTTTTGACCCATAAAAATAATTTCTTTTCTTCTCGTAAGCGTAAAAGTACGATTTGCCTATGCCTATGACTATATTATAAATAGTTTTTAGCGAGCATCAAGCTTAGGGCAAAACACATTTCATGCGAGCCTCACGTACTTTTAAGAACACTTGCATAGTCCAAAGACGATCTTGGTTGAGCAAGTACGACATCAGTGTCTGCTAAAATGATAACTTATTTTGAAAAGTCTTCTTTAATTTCTTGATTTGTTTATTTATTTGTTTATTTCCATATGAAATTCATCTACAGCGGAATGACAGACAAATTAAGTGCGAGCAGGCTCTTAAAATTGATTAGACACAACAAGATTTTGACTTCACTTTTACAGAAATTTTGCGAATAAGAAAAGAAAATATAAAAACAAAATCCGTACATAACTAAACAAATGAGAGAAAGAAAAGAAAAATAAAGCAACATCAAGCAGAAAGGAATAGTTCAACGTTGGTTGATCTGAGTGTTGATAGGAGTGTGCAAGTGAGACGACGCAAACATATAAAAGATCAACAAGCAATAGCAATAAACTGAGTTTATTAGATTATATCAAATGAAGGAGTATTTAAGGAGTTCGATTACAGATACGACTTGGATTTTTGCAAAGGGCCTTAAACGTGCTGATTTGCTCATTATTATATTCAGTTAGTTTGGTTGAATTTTGCAAAGGGCCTAGAACTGGGATCATTGAAGTTTCTTCGTTTAACTTACTCGACGGTTACTAAGCTTAGCTAAGAAGAAGGGACTTGGGGTAAACCTAGTTTTCTCTATTAAGGTGACAAAGAGACCACAGTTTGTATCCAAATCATTAGAAGAGCGAATTTTTATTCTGAACTGAGCAGATCAGAGACATATTTTGGTGATGGTCTTACCACATTCAAGTATAGTCTTTGGATTTTGGATTATAAAATCCTAGATATAAATCGGCTTTGTAAAGATCGAAACTAATTATAAGCGCAGTCTTACTGAGTTAATTCGTACGACAAATGGTACAATGGAACAATGATCGCAGGAAAGTGTTCAAGGATGAGCTCGAAACTAACTATAGGCGCACTCTTACTGAGTAAATTCATGTGGAAAATGGTAAACAATGATCGCAGGAAACTGTTCAAGGATAAACTCCTTTAAATCCTAGCTATGAAAGGGCTTTGTAAAGATCAAAAATAACTCTAGGAGCACTCTTACTGAGTTAATTTATGCGGAAAATGGCAAAAAATGATCGCAGAAGGGTGCTCAAGTGTTAATCCCTGTATTTTTTTTTTTTTGACTAAAGCCAACTGAATAAAGGAAATAAAAATATATTGAATATAACTGAACCGTGTGCGAATCGAACAGTTTTAATTTTATAATCGGACTTGTATGTATGTACGATGTCTGGACTCTATAAGAGATATCATCTCAAACGCTTTTGTCATACTAACCACTATGAATACATTAATATTTTCATTGCTCTGACACTCTTTGACTTGAAGAAGGAAAAATTGAATGGAAGGAGCAGAAAACATGTGTATAAAAAATACGATTATTTTTAGATATATATGTTCTGGTCAGATTTCTTTAATTTTCAATTTCCTTTAAAGTCCACTTCATATTTTTTTTTTTGTTGTTTCAAAATGTTATACAATTTTTTAGTTTTATTTTTGCGAATGAGAGGAGAGAAGTTGATTAAAAATGTGCAAAAATCCCATAGGGCAACAAATACAAATATTTATTTAAATGAAGAGGAGTCCATGCTCTCAAACGCATACATATGTAGATGCTTGTATACATGTATACATATATGCAGTGTGATAAAAATAGAATTGATATGCGTTATGTTTTTATTTGTCTTTTTATTTATTTATTTATTTTTTTTTTTTTTGTACTCGAATTCATTTATTTTTTTAATTTCTTTTTTCCTTTTTTTGTTGTTTTTTTTTTGTCAGTATAAATTCAGAATGTGTGAGAGTTTTAACACTTGTCTTTATTTCAGCTCGTATGTATATAAATAAATAAAATGACAAATAAAAAGGGCAGGCAAGCTCCTGGGGATCACATTCAAAATGAACGAGAAAATGCATTCCATAAAAATAACCAAAAGAGAATTTTTTGTTTCAACCCGCAAAGAGCTTGACAAAAATAACCCGCCAGAAACTTTCAACTAGAGAATATTTAACAAATTCATACAGAAAAAGTTTTTTCGTAAAAAAGAAACATTATATTAGTGAAGATAGATAGATAGATATAACCTCAAATGTATATGTATATGTAAAGAATATACATAACCTTAAATATAATATTTATACAAGCGCAAAATGCTCAAATGCTATAAAACTCATTCAAGATTCTCAAATTCATTCAAAATGCTAAACGTTTATCGCAATCATACGTTTTTATTATCTTAAACTTGAATTAGACGCAATTCGTTTGTAATTTTACCAAACATGGTATGCAGTAGTTTTTTTTTTTTTTGATTTGTTACAAGATGACGTCGATACTAAGAAAAACGCATATGCCGATTGTGAGAATTTTTCTATACACATCAATTTTTAGATCCATTGCATTTCTTGCTTGAATTAAAAAGCCATTAAATATTTGATTATGCCTCAGCATGTCAATCCAAGGGCAGGACTCATCTGCTTCTTTGAATGTTATATCGTGAATTTCTTTCCACCTTAGTGTGATATTTCAATTTGCCAAAGTACCGCTATTACTTAAACAGAGTATGATACACGCTTCCTTACACTTTCCAATATTCATTTCTATTCGTTAACTATGGTGTTAAGTGTGTTAGCGAAGTCTTTGTAATCGCTTTGATAGAGAAAACGAAACAATAGGTTATGAAAGTGTAAGAGATGCTGTGCATATTATGACTGCGTGGGAGAGATTTAGTGATACTATTTTAAGGAATAATTGAAGGAAGTAGTTATCTTTAAGAAGAAGTTGCAATCTGCCACACAGCCGGAGTAAGAATACAACTTACTGGTAACACGATTCGATTAAAACCAAAATAGAAAGGAGTGACTGATGTCAGACATAACCTCAAAAAATTTATATGCAAAGCATTTATGTAAATGACTAATAGATTTCAATACAGATCATGCATTGCGCGATGATGATAGGTCATAAGATTCCATGTTGATCTGCAAGTCTTATAGGCTCTCATCTGCTTGTTCGAAACCATTAACGAGTAAGTTATCAGTGTTTCTATTTCCCTTTTCATTGGTTAGCGTATTCAAACGTTCCAAACATTCTCGGTCAAAGTGAACTTGAATCAGCTTACTTGCAATTTTCTGTCATTACGATGTCTCGAAACTTTAGGGAAGAATTTGAAAGTTTCCCATGTTTAGTTAAGTGGCAATCCGCATGGCGACCTGAAAGATCTATTGTACTCAACTTGCCCATAATACATCGAAGATACTAAAATGACCCGTTCACAATATTTGATAAAATCGCCAAGAATTTGTCAAAATAAGAGTCAAAGACTTGTTATTTAAAAATAGAGTCCTTCAGACTCCGAACAGCGCCGGTCAAGAAGAACAACTACAGGACAAATGCAGATGTTCCTTAGAGAATGCCTCAGCATGTCAATGCATGTTGCAAAGGAATTCGCCCATTCACCTAATAGGTTGCGCCGCAACAATAGGGTGCTTGGAAAGGTGTGCCTCCATACGAAAAATACTTCTTTAAATCATAAAAAGAAAATCTTATATAAATAGCAGGAAATTT